TAAAAACTTGCGTAGGCACAGATGATCGGATTTCAAACTCAACTTAGACTTACAATGTTCATAATTTGGTCCGCTTAAATAGTCATGTTAGCGCGCCATAACCTCACACGTTGTACACGCAAGTTCAAGCTCCACTAGCTCCGAAGATACGACATGGTTTCAGAAACGCGCGTTAACGAACTGCAAAACATTACATAATAATGTTCAAAAGGTAGTGTGCGGCCAAGTGAGCGCTCTCTTTGGCAGGTACTACCTGGCCTGATAGCCGTAACTGTTGACATCTCTCGCTAAGTTCCGACTGCTGGGTGCCGTCACATGCATAAACAAACCCTTACATTATAGATTCACAAGCAAACGGCATGATCCTTTACGGGTTGGTTCCTTCATGCTCGGCAACTTTAGACCGACCCATGGCAACGCTCAAAGCACCTCCCTCCTAGCATCTCGTGCCTGTTTGATTGTTGTCCTTCTTATTCTCTTCTTCATTTACAAAGTCCAAGTTCAAACGAAATGTGCCTTTGCGACACACCATCAGCTTTGCCGCCGACTTCAAAATGTGCAATTGGAACGATCCCCGAATGCCTTCTGGCTGGGAGCGGACAACAACTGGTCCATGAAGCACGGGCACTTTGGCGTGCCTTGAACTGCCAGCCAGCCGGTGTCGAACGGCCCTTCGGTCTGCTGGCTGACAGTCCAAGGCGCTTTGTGTGCATGTCATTCTACAGATTTCCGCATCACAAGAAGGCTAACTGTTCCGTTAGTAATGATTATGCTATGGCTGCAATAGAGGTACTCAGTTGCCCCATGCATCTCATCGCATCGCTCACCCGCAAACTATCAGCCAGTTAGCCAGACAGCCATGTTATCCCCCGGTCATGGAGCTTGTTGTTTGTAGGTACTTCAGGGGCTGCCGGTGCTGCTTCCAGAACCGTACAGGTCGCGGCGGTACCCGCCGCCGGGACACGCCTGCCTGAAAATTTAAGTATGTATGTATGTTGTTACAGGGTGGTATAGCTTCACCAGCGGCCCCCTTTCCCGGGGCAGTCCCTGCTCTCCCCTGCGAGAGGGGCACCCTAATCCGTTCACCCCATCCGATTTCAGAATGTATTCGTTGGGTTCAGCAACTCACCACCAGCATTCAACCAAATCTAGCGGATCAACGGCGCCTCAACTTAGTTCCTGCTCGCAAGTTGATATTATCACGTCCTACACCGTCCATAAGATGGGGGGCCACCTCCCATTTCAACACTTCTCAAACACCCGAGGAGCCAGCAGGCGGACTTGAACCCGGACACTCCGGTAGCAGAAGTCAGGCCTTAACCTCTGCCAGCCGCCTGCCTATAATCTGTATGTAGACACGCGCACCAACCAGGCCTCTGTGTAGTACATGCCTGTCATACATCCATCCACGCGGTACATGCATCCATCGCGATCTCCAAATTGGTTTCCTCCCCACTGAAGACCACAGAGATTCATGACCTTGACATCATAATGCCGTACGTGCCGTATACAATGCCGTACAGTCCTCCATCAGGCTCTCCACCAGGGCTCCCCCGCACTGAAA